CAACCCTTTACACTCGATAATTTTCATTATTAATATTCATCATTTTACGATGAAATACCGATAAATTTAGCTATATAAAGAAAATATAAAGAAAATATAAAGAAAAGTCTTGCATAAAGTAAGAGATAGAGTTACAATTTTGAAAAAGAACTATACTTTTCAACTTTGAACATTTGTTGTACCTTAACACCTTGACGAAAACTTTCAGTTTTACGTACCGCTTATTCTTTTGCAGCAAAGATAAGGAGGAACAGTTATTTAGTATTTGGTATCGCAATGTTTACGCTACACTGTTATCTAGTAATCTACGCTATGAAATATTTTCATTCGACAGTAGTTGTTCGACAAATTATAGTTATTGCCAAGTAATTTGCAAGCTCCGTTCATCGGTGACCGAGGTGGCAGTCAACGTGTTAATTATGAAAATTTCTCAAACTTTTCTTGCACAGTATTATTCTATGGATCTTCCTGAATACAACGATGTAATTTTAATGACATTATAAAAGTCTAAACATGTATAACCATTTAACTTCGTTTGCCAAGTATACACGTTATCTTAAAACGCAAAATAGTAATAATCTTTTCAACGATCAATTCTTTATTTTTTCTGATAAGCGTATAACTCTTCTTCATTTCGCTGTAGATTTTCGTTAGAATATATTACAAGTGCATTTGCTCTGAGTTGGACGAGTATACACTTTATTATTTGTTTTTATTACGCGCACAATGAGAGATTTTCTAAATTTCACAATTAACTGATTAAAATTAGCTTTAAATTACCTAATTACCTTCATAGAGCTGCATCGTTTCTATAAATAACTCACTAAGTAAAGAAGAGAATTTTATTATGTAAATATTCGTAACAGGAAATTAATATTTAATTCTGACTGGAAGGAATAAAGTAATATTTATACTTATTGAATTTAGTTTGGAGACTACTTTAAATTATATTGATGAACTTGTACTGATGTGTGTGTGTGAACTTCATAACTTTACACTATATTTTATATTTATTACAATTTTTTCAGAAAATATTTTCTCAGGAAGACTTGATTTGCAAGAGAGTGAGTTTACTATATGAATAGGTGTATCTAATTTGCAAAAAAGTGTATTTAGTCTATGAAACAGTGAACCTGGTTTTCCAAAGGATGAATTTGGTATATTGAAAGATGAATTCAACTTACAAAAGTGTGACTTTGATTTGCAAAAAGACAAATTTAGTTTATTAAAACTTGAATGTAATTTGCAAGAAAGTGGACTTACTTGGCAAAAAAGTGAATACGATTTGCAAAGGGGTGAATTTGATCTATAAAATCTTGAACTTGATTTGTAAAACATGAATTTAATTGTCCAAACAGTAAACATGATTACAAAACCATTGCAAACTACTAAACTACAACCCCAAAAACCTGTAATTTTCGCTCACTACCCCCGCTATAAATCGAAATCGCCATTAGCACTAAAACTACCAGACGGGTCAACTTGGTCCATTCCTGATTTCTTCTTCTGTAATTATTAAAAAGATAACGAATGTTTCTCTGAGAAATTATTAAAGAAATTGACTTACCATTACGCAAACTGAACTGTAAATCAATGGAAGTCTCAATAGATTCAATCTAAAAGTTTCCATAGAGGAATCTCAAAAAGTCAATGTAACACAAGGTTTACGGAACGCATCAATTAGACGCACATTGAATGTTACAAACATTATTTGTTAAATGTTCACGTCGATTTTTAACTTCCGAGATCTAAACGAACGAACATCACATGCTCAATACGATTAAATGCTATAAAAAGCTATAAAAAGATCTTTCTGATCTAGGAAGAACAAAGAACAAGTAAATCTTTTACTAACGGAAAAGAATATTATTTATTCCATTAAAACTCCGAAAAATCAGAAAATATGAAAAAATCGACTTAACCGCATTGGCCTCCAAGCGTTTCAAATCCGTAAACACTGCCAACTGTCCGATAGTTTTAGCGTCGAACAAAAGCGTCAAAGGTCCTTGCACAAGCGCTCCAAGCGAAAACCCACGAAACAAATCAAACCCATTCCTCTCGAAACCGAGAAGAGCCGCTAAAACCGAGACCACAGATACGTCCCAGGTGCAAATTGTTCCCTCGGTTTCTCTCGGTTCACGGTTTCTCCGGTGAATTGTGTTCACGCATGTACGGAGGAGGGATCGGAATACCAGGGGACTCATCATCCGGGGACTGAAACGTGCACCGTCGTGCCGGGAGTGACGTAACGGCAGCGTTACGTCCTCTACCCCCATCACACGTGCGGGCACCTTCTCTCCAGAAAGGAGCAGCGGGCCGCTGCCCCTACCTTCGCCTGGCCCCAGAGTCATCCTCTCCTAGAGACCGTTCCCTGCTAGCCATCCTCTTCTCGGCCCGAGACGTTCTCCACGACGCCGCAGTCGCCTCCAAGAATCCCTTCGCAAAGGTAACGCAGGAGTGATACCGGTCCTGCGCAGCAACAGTGCAACGACAATCGAATCGACACCATGGACACCGTAGGACGACGCTTCATCCTCATCTGGGGTACGTTGCCGGCGCCGGAGTTTCACTCCAAATCGAGCGGCCCTCTCGCTCTCACGGGGAAACCGAAAGGGAGAGTTTTTCTTTTCTACGGTTACGTGCTCGCGTCTTCTGCGCCGGAGAAATTCAGTCCAGATCGCGTGATCTTCCGCGAGCAGCTTTAATCGGTCTTGCCTGATGCACTCGTGCCGATGAAGCCATGCTGTTAGGGGATTTAGGCTTTTTGACGTTTCAGTCGCGGGTGATGTGGTAGTTTGGGTGGTCTGGGGACTTTCGAGGGCGATGTGGGATCCAGTTTTTCAAGAAGTTTTTGAAGGGTTTTTCAAGGGTTTTTCAAGGGTTTTTGAAGAATTTTTATAGAATTCTGATCTTGGTTTGTCCATCCATAGCATCACGTTTTACAGTGTATCATGTCCAAAAACACTTTTAACAGTACAACTAGTGACCAATCAAACTGACTTTGTGTTCTTTTTCTATAAAAATTCAGTCGCGGGTGATGTGATTAATGAGGTCATATTTGGGTTGATTTAGTAATTTCGAAGAGCGACGTGGGATCCAGTTTTTGACAAATTTTTAACAAATTTTTTAAGAATCTTTGAAGAATTTGTTGAAAATTTATAAAATTTTGATCTTATTTTATCTATCCATAACACCACGCTTTACAGCGTATCATGTCCTAAAATACTTTTAACGCTAAAACTACTGACCAGTCAAACTGACATTTTGTTCTTTTTCTGTAAGAATTATTTGGGGGCATTTATTGAGACGTCCATTGGCTTACATCTCAATTCGCATGTAACTAAATCAATTTATTTAGTAATTTCTCCAAGCAGCATTTATATTTTTTCAATAATTGTGAAAGAATAAATCAGGAGTGGATTATTTTGATCCATCTGGTTGTTCTAATATTAATAATTCATTACTCTTTATCTTTAATCATTTTTACTATTTTTTTGCTCTTACAAACTTTATTATAGAGGCTGTAAATTTCGCTTGCGTTTCTGGGGAGAAAAGTTAAAAAATTGTTAAAGGTTG